AAAACAACAAATCAACAGAACATTCTGGTATTGGTCATTAAGAAATGCAAGTTAAACCAGGATGAGATAGAAGCAGGACTATGCATCTACTGGAATATTAAAATGTTAAAGGATTCTCAGAGAATCCTGATGGAAATAAATAGTTAAAACTGACCATTAAATGCACTACCATTTACTCTTAAGTCACTTATATAACAGAACTCAAGAATATATATAATCTTGTACATCAACAGGTAAATGGATACACAAGTAGTGGTTTATCTCTTCAATGAAATACTAGGACACAATGAGGAGAAACTGACTAAATGTAACAAAGCAGTAGCAAGGACAAATCTCAAAATGATTGTGCTGAGGGAAAGCACTCAGAGATGTGTGCACTTCCTGTCCGTGGCCTTTCTAGAAAACATAAATTGATCGGAAGTCACAGAGAGCCAACCAGTGCTTGACTGAGAGAAACAAGACAAAGGCAGCCTAAGGGAAGCATGACAAACTGACACTGAAGAAGCCTAGAGGTGACATCTGTGGTGTGGTGTTATCGTGGCTGCATGTGTTAAGCATAAAGCAATCCAGCTACAGATTTTAAGTCAGTGCCGTTTCCTCTGTTAGTTACAGGTCAGGGAACTGATTAGAATATTAATATGAAATGGAAAAATGAGCCTGCAGGCGTGTATAGATTGGTAGACTGACAAAGACCTTCCCTATAGAATTCCCACATAGTCGTCTATGTTAAGTTATAAAACATCTTCCAGTCCTTTGGCTTCTCTTATTTTCACATAGAGCTCATAACCATTCCACCACTAGGGCTGTTCCAAATGTGTGTGTGTGTGTGTGTGTGTGTGTGTGTGTGTGTGTGTTGTAGCTTGAAGTTTGATGGATAGCTAGAGACTCTGAAAAAAAAAAGTCATCCAAAAGACAGATACAATGTTCAGCATTCAATGTGGATAATTATTTAAACTGTAAAGGAAATTCTACCTAGCAGGGCGTACTTGTACCAGCCCTAAAGCCTAAACATGTTATAAGGTCTGGCCTCCTCGATTTTGAAAACTCCTAGTTACTGAAACTCAAAGTAAGCCTTGTACAGTAGGCCTACCTAAAAGGCTGTAATAAAATAAACAAGTAAGAGGGTAAATAAATAAATAAGACCCCAGCAAAAGCAATTGGAGGAAGGAAAGTTTGTCTTTGCTCACATTCCAAGGTAGCAAACTACCTCATTATGACAGAGAAGTCAAGGCAGAGGGAAGGCGAAGCAGCTGGTCCCATGACATCTGTAGTGCTCAGGCTCCCAGGTGCTCAGCCTGTTCTTCCTCCTTATAAGATCCAGAATTGCCTGCCTGGGGGATGTTCCACCCTCACGTGAGATGGGATGATTCTTCCCCCATAATCAAGATAATGCCATAGGCGTGCCCAGAAGTCCAGGTCATAGGTGATTGTAGGTTCTGTCAAGTTAACAGCACTGACATTTCATTCTTAGAAACTTGCAAAGTCATTGCTGTTAACTGGAGAACCAGATGTAGTCCTGAGAGCCTGTTATCAAGTTCTAGTAGCCTCTGTGCCCTGTCTTCTAACTAATCTAGTATAGAGACTGGAACAATCGCTTAGGAGAGTAAAGTGCTTAGATTTGTAAACAGAAAGGGAACAGATATTTTAATCCCCTTCTGCAAGCCCGAGACAGTGCTGAGTCCTTAGGAAATTACCTCATTGTCTTCACACACATGTTTGCAAAAGTCTTCATGGAAACCTAAGTCCTGGGATTTGTTTAGCACCTGGCAACAAAAAATGAAAAAAATAAATGGGATTAAATATTTGTCGATGAGTGCTTCTAATACAGAGAAAGTAAGAGTGGTGGACTTGTTAAATGAAGTTGGTGTTAGGAAGAGTGGGGACAACTAAGGCATCCCCCTGATGTAGCTGAGCAAAGTTGGTAGTGTTCTCAGTGTGCACAGAAACAGAGAGTACCTTGGCAACGGCATCCCTGGGATGACGGAATCCATAAGGAACCTGACTAAAAAGCACCGGTGAGGTGCTCTCAAGACACTGAAAAGCCAACACTGAGCATCATGGGAGTCAAGGCAGAAGTAGATGAAGACAGAGGGACACACAGGAAGCTGTTCTGGCCATTCCCATTAGGCTCTGCTCCAAGATTTTCCTTAAAGAAGCAAATACATGCATGGAAATCCATGCACACATAAATAAATATCCTGTCTTCCAATTTGTGAGTTGTGTGGAATCTGGCTATTTTTTAAAAGAAGAGCTGAAACACGAGACATTTAAGGGCTCTGCTAGTTTCACACAGTGATTAGTGGCCGTCAAGGGAGACAGTTCATGCAGATAAAGTAAAGCACAGAACATAGAGGAACCAGGCTCCAGTGTAAGCTTGCCCACTTTCCATCATTTCTTAGGACTTTATCTGTTAGGTAAAAAAACAAAGAATGCTGGGAGGAGCAGTTATGGTGCAAGGATTTGAATAGGAGGATAGATAGATTTTAAATAATAAATGAATGATGGGCTGGGATTATAACTCATGGGTCCTAGTGCTTGCTTACTGTGAGGTCCTCAAGGCAACCCTTAGGACCAGGAAAATATAAGTGGAGCTAAAAAAGGAATGTATGAATGGACTTTTAAATTTAATTTAGATTTATATAATCTAAATAGTCATATTTTAACTGGTATGAGTTTTAGCTACAATTTTAAGTTTTTCTGTCAATATATTTCATTCGGAGAATAAATCCATAGATCCATAGGGTGGGTTCATTATTCCCAGTTTTGCTCTATTTTGTGTATATGCCAGTGTGTGTGTGTGTGTGTGTGTGTGTGTGTGCCTACATGTTCTAGAACAACCTTTGTCTCATTGCTCTGGTGCCATTTTTCTTTATTTAATCAATCTCTCTCTCTCTCTCTCTCTCTCTCTCTCTCTCTCTCTCTCTCTCT